TTTCCCTCAGTTATGTTCAGGTCCATCACATATGCAAACTCCCAGCATGCATGATGGCTTAGCTATGTTAGTTATTTGGGCCATTCTTGTCTTGATACATATCTGTGCTTCCTTACATCTTTCTGACTGAGCAGGATCATCTTTCCTTCCACCAGCTGGGAAGATTCAGCCATTTCAGTATTTCCGTTACAGGCTGCTCAGAACTTGTCCCTTTCTGTTTCCCAGACCTAGGATAAAGCACCTTTCCAGGCTCAGATCAAATCATCTAGGGGGACGGCAGAGAAAGTACACCTCCCTCCTACATGAAAGACCTTTTCTGAGTATGGGCATAGATGCCGCCTTCAGATCTTGTCTTTCTGGGGCACTCACCTGTTGGTGTGGATGCCAGTTATCTCTGGGAAGGTCAGCTCAAGGAGCCGCTTTTCTGACTCATCCAAGAAGCAGATACCTTTCCAATTTACAGCAATGATAAAGTGGTTCTTGGGCAAGCTGGGACCTGAAAATGCAGAAAAAACTCCTTATCAATGCTATACAAGTCCTCCTCTATTGATCTTATATCTGTCCTCTACTCCCAGGCTCTGGGTATTACCTGAAAACTTAGTGACTTCAAAGAATCGGGAAAAAAGCAAAGGCCACTGAAAGCGAGCAAAATCTACGAGTTGTTCCTTCACAGTCTGACGGGAGAGACGGTCCTGTGTGTATGGGGCCTGCAGTATAAAAAAAATACCCGAGGTTTTCTCAGTAAAATCTGGTTTGCATGATCTGCAGACAATAAAGAGCAGGCCTGATCCCAGAGGTTCCCAACAGCCCCCTGCTGTCACTGGTGTCAAGGGTACCTGGAGAAAGTCAAATCAGGAATAGCCTCCAGGGGCCCAAGGCACATGCTGCTGAGGCTGCCCACAGGCATGGGGATTCCAAATTTCCCTCAAATCCCCACTGACTGATCTGTTCAGAGTCTAACACATTTTGGATGCCATGGAAATAATTCAGGTAATCCATTTCCAGATCAAAACCAATATTCCGTCCCATGCCCATCCTGACTCAGTTGTCATATGGGAGATAGAGAGCCTTAAAAGATACTCTCTTCAGACATTTAAATATACTTTTTTCATTCTGCCCCCCATGTTCAGCCCTGTATGGAAGAGTGAGTGGAAAGGTTCTCCACTCTCCCAGCTCTAATTAACTATTTGGGATATACAAACTGAGATTTTTTTTTCCTTCTTCCCCCAACAGACATAAATGGAAATGGTGAAAGAAGCAGAAGCTGGTGCTTGAGAGTGGTTACCCAGCAGCGCCAGACAAACCTCTTACCTTAGCATGTGCGTAGGTTATAAGGCTCACCCACTTTTCCAGGGGCTTGGACTTCAGCTGTTTCACTGGGATACAGTCATGGAGCACCTTCTGCACAAGTTCATTGTGAATGGAATCTCCAAACTGGATGTAACAATATTTTGCACCTATCTCCACCAAATCCTCCTCCTGAAACAATTAATCCATTAAAAGAGGCCTAGAAAGACGTCACAAAGTCCAGATAGCCTTGTTCAACCTTGAAGCCAGTTTAAGAATGGGGTTTTCTCCATTTTTGTCTGGATAACTCTTGACAGTCATCCAGCATACGGAGAGATGAACTTCACACAATCATAGCATCAAAGAGATTATTAGCAAAGATATTTTAAAAGGACACAAATTGCCCCTTTGGACATGCCTCCAGCTGCCACATGAACTGAAAGTTGCAGGAAAAAAAATGTATTAATTACAGCTGCCAGTGTGACAGCTGGCACAATCAGCTGGACAGGAATTGTTCATTAAGAAGGGAAGGATTGTTCACAGCCACTAGAAACTTCATTCATCTTCCTGCTTTTTATTGTAGGAAATGTTAATATAGTTTTGTCTCTTTAGGAGGATGAATAAGGAGACCCACCTTCTCGCAACGGTACTCTCCAAACCGGATGCCACGAATGACTTGGTGGTAAATGAGATCAGTGCTGATAGGATCCTCCTGGGAGTTGTGCCACGGAGTGAAGATTTCCTTCCGGAAGTAGAGTCGCCAGGGCGCATTGCGTTCGTGTGTGCCCTGCTCCTTCACTAGCTGCTCACACTGAGAGATGGCATCCAGGACATGATCTCGTCCCCCACCCAGCGACCAGACCTAGAACAAAGGGACACTGCATTTACTGGCATGCCTGCTTTGGATCTGAGTGAAGGACAACAAACCCAAAGCTCCTGGTCTCCTGACAGCAAGAAAAATTCTGAAAAGGTAAGCAGATGGATGTGCAAGTTGTACTTTGGTAAATGTATGTATTTTTATTGATAGGGATGGTATCAGGAAAAATAAGTTGGAAGTTAAGGCAAAGCAGCTCTGGTTTACAATCTTCTATTTGTCTCCTTGTACTTTGTTTATCCCTTGTATATCCCCTTAAGTGCACATGCAAGTGTTGCTGTAATCTAAACAAAAATTCCATCTCTGAATTAATTTCTTTGCTATTGATGCCTAACTCTGAGCACCAAGATGTCATCTTGCTGTGTATGTCTGTTTTACAGCATTACTGTAAAAAAAGGCAAAGGGAAGGAGAGGCTAAAATGCGAGCATGTGAGCTAACAGCAGCAGCGCTGGCAAGGACCTTGGCTTTCAATGCCACATGATAGGGGCTGCATCAGCAGCACTGTAACACAGGACAAGAAAGTTACGTGCAGCAGTGCAGGAGGGAAATATGTCTTTGAGCAGAGCTCCCTAGCGTGTGAGACCTGCTAGTTTCACCCTGCTCCAGCAGTTCTGCAGTGCTGCATGCATGACGAGCAGGTGGGATCCTAGAACATGGCCAGGAGACCACAGTGCTGCACTGCCCATGCACAGGGACACTAGTCAATTATGTGACCTGGCAAAGGAAACCTCACAGGCCTGTAGCAGGAATTGCTAAGTGGCTAGCCAGCAGAAACACAGAATAGGATTATCAGCTCCTCAGATTCAGCTGGCGTTCAAAGCTGATTTGGTTTGAACGAAAGACTGGGACAGGAGTGCTTCCAGAAGTCAGAGGGAGTCCTCAGTGAGGCTGGGTGGACAGGATCAACTCCACAGAAAGAGAAGGGAGGTTTCATTCTATTTTTCTGCACTTTACCTTATCAAACACAGCAATGTAGAGTGAAAACCCAAACACATCCTTCAGTTTGATTTTATCTGCTATGAACTGACAGATCTCTTTGGCAATGGAAGCAGAGTCTGCAGGAACAGTGATGCTTTGGCCGTTCATCAGGGTGACATTAAACATAATGGGTTTCTTCTGCTTTGTTGCCTGTAAGTCAGAGTCAAATGAGAGAAAAAAATTATGGGCAAATCCTACTTTTCTGTGAAGAATGAAGAAGGCATTTAGATTTAAGAGCTTCACACACTACACCCTAGTCAACAATCTTTAAGTGAATCTCCAACACCCACACAGTTTCTTCAATGCATGGTGAGTCTTAAATATAAATTACATCCCTGGAGCAGCACTGGAATCAAGTTCCCTCCTCCCCACAGCTCAGGGGAGTTGATTATCACATAACAGTGTAGACTTTTCATGAGCCTTATTTGGCCTGATGACTTTCAGGTACAACCTTACATGCATCAGTGGAGACATGGCCTGTAGCAAGCATTTTGCCCAGGGAGGTGTGTGTTAGACAATGGAGTCACTCAGATTTAGGAAGGAATTGAACTGAGGTCTTCACTTCAGGGGGGGCGTGTGTGCATGTGTGTGTATGACTTCTAATTACTAGGGTGACATTTAAAAGAAGGGGGAGGGTGATGTAGCCCTATCATACACACTTTTCCCCTCCATTTTAAAACCATAAGCCCTGTTCAGTTCTTTCCACAAATTATTCCAGTTCTTTCCACAATGAGCTTCCCTCAGGAGGTGGTTCTGGCCTGTGGCTCTTGAGTGGATCTCCCTGCAAATCATGTGTTGCAGCTTTTAACTTACATCCTCCACTGGGTTTAGGTTAACTGAATAGCCAGAAGACGTGTATCTAAGAAGCTGTCCAGAACAAGGCAGCTGGTCTTCAATCCCCTTGTGCAATTGATTTCCATTATTGGACTTAGGAAGATCTGTTAGCACAGGTTAGTAAATACAATCCAGTATAAAATGACACAGATCAATATAAATTATCAAAAAAGGAGTTACTACCTGAAGTTCCAGCCAGCTCGGAGGTTCAGTCCGTGCTCCATTGACATAGGTACGTCTCAGACGTTCAGCACAATATGGTGCATAGCCTGTGGGCCCATGGTGGATGAAATTCAACAGGTACTATATGCACAGAGCATAAGAAAGAATTAGGAAACACTAATCCTCATAAAACATTAGAAACCTTCTGCAGCTGGTAGACTAGATTAGCATCATTTAGCTTACCGTTCACCAGAAAGTGTTAAAGGTTAGGGTTGGGATTAGTGTTCTGGAAAAGGAGGTTTGAGACACCAAGTTTTCTCTCATTCTGTAAAGCTTTTAGACTAAAGAGGAAGGCTTGTGTCAGTCTATTCGCTATGTTTAACTGCATGATGAATATTAGACAGTGGAGACTTTATTCTCATGATTAGAGCAAGGGTTAGCGTTTCCAACTGAAGAGCGTGAAGTCTTGTGACATTCTGCATGAACCAAAGTGCTGGGAAGAGGGCTAACTGCAGGTTAGGGCTGCTGATTATGGTTACTTTTAGTTTTACTAAGTTCTCTGGCAATATCAATAGTTGAAGTCCATGATTAAGATTGTACGTTGGAAGAGAAGGATTGGATAAACTGAGCGTTTGGAGTTTGTATCACTCTGTTATCTTGGATGATGTGGTATAAGTATGGACTTGCATTTACATACTTGTATTTAGTGCAAGCATGGGTCAGTCACCTGGTTATTTTAATGATTAAGAATATTCCTAGAGATAGGGTATGGATTTAGGAAAAGAGAACTAGAGCAAGTCAGGTCTTTTGTGAATTCTGCATGGTTCACAGTCTTTGGATTAAGACTGGTGTCAAAACACGTCTATGGCTTGTATCTGGTTTGTTCCAAGTAGTGGCCACTCAGCAGAATTTCTGATTAGATTAATCATTTGAGCTAGGGTGTCAATAAAGCAAGGCTGAAGATTCAGGGGTATCTATGGATTCTGTTTGCCTTTAAGACCTAGGAGGAAGGCTGATGTCAAGTTGGAGCCACAGGTTGTGTTGGTTTTTTTCTTCTGTGATGAACTGGATTTATCCAGATGAAAAACCCCAAATCTCTATTGGATTTTGTAGGGCTTGGCAAAATATGGGGAGTGATTTCATACTGGACTCCTGAGTATATTTAATCACAAGGATTGTAACTGGAGACAGCCTGTAAATGTTGGAAAGGCAGAACTGGAGAGGATAAAATTTGCCAGATTCTTTACAGATTACAGATCTAAATGAGGGCTGCAATCAACAGCAGAACTCGACTTGTATAGCATGTAATGAAAAAGAATTAAATGTGAGTACAGCAATCATTTATTTAAATTCCCAGATAAGCATATGAGATGAGATAGTGTCTGCGAAAATCACAGCACCAGCTGCTATGGCAGCCAAACAGTTTATGTGGCTATTTGTATCAAAACATCAAAACACAAAAGAAACCAGATCAGCTAAGGCATTTAAGGTGCTGTAGGAAAGGTTAGTAGTGTACCTTCACAAATGTGTCTGAAGGAGGAAAGCAACCAAGGCAAAGTGACAGAAGGATCCAGCCTCGAGCGTAGCTGCTCCTGTTGCTGTTTTCAGTGAGTTGTTTGCAAATCTGGCAATAAATCTCATCTCTGTAATAAAACATGTGAAAGCAACAGATAATGATTCAGTGTCTGAACTGGTTTTGGCTACGTTTCCGCTGCAAGCTTGGCATGATTGCAGCATGATGAAGTAGATCTGAGCTAGGTTTAACCGTGTTAGCTAGGATACCACCTGTAACATACCACAGGAAATAACGGTGTCATTGGCTTTGGCAGGAAAAGGCTCAAGATATATTTAGTGGCCTTTGCCACCTCTTGTTACTCGAGCAGTTCAAGTGCAATTCCCATGCTGGATTACCTCCTGTGGCAAGCAGGAGGGTTGTGCAGGGATAACAATTGCCGGGTCGTCCAGCTGTGAAATGCCATTGCTGTCCCTCCACATGTGAAACTTGCTCTAAGCTCTTTACAGTATGTGGCTTGTATCTCATGGCTCTTGTCTGTCTGTTCATATGTGGATTTTTGGGATAAGGGTAGGGGGACACCCTGCTTAATTTTATATTTTTAGTAAACTTGGAGTGAGTCCTTGGACAGGAATAGAGGAAAGGGTGCTTCAGAGTGAGCTTCTGAATATGCAAGTTGCCTGCAGCAAGGACATATGGGAAACAGATGCAAAAATCTGCATACAAACTGCTATTTAAAAATCATCTTAAATTTTCTGGACTCTTGGAACATACATTTGGCAAGTCTGGTGTGGGAGGACACAAGGTGGATGAGGTTTTTGTTCCCAGATAGGACATATGATGAAACACAGACTGAGGGAGTAGATACTTAGCCTGTGGAAGGCAATTTTTGCCAGCTGAGGATCTGCTTCTGGGAGCATTTTGACTGAAACAAAGCAACTATGTAGAGAGGAACGTAGCCCATGACTGAGGTCAAGGCAGGGCCTGTGCCTATGGGCTTTGTTACAGAAAAGTGTTGCATAAGCTAAAATGGGCTAAAATGGAGGAGAGAATTCACGGGGTCAGGTCAGAACCAACCAGCTTCTGTCTCATCCTCACACCATGCTTGGTCTAAGGTCCAGCCTCACACCACTAGTAAGTAGGATTTCTTCTTCTAGTGGCTGATATATTCAGCAAGCCAGGCCCTCAACCATCTCTGATTTGGGTACATTCAGTCAGGAATCTCCAGAGATAAATGTGAGACATTTCCAGCATTTGGAAAATGCCCTGGGACTGTGGAAAGGGGATGCTGGGTTTCCTTGATGTAATGGGTGCCTGGTCCTAGAAAGGAGATACAAATTTCCTACCTGATGGCAGGGCGCAGAATTGCATTGCCAATAATGAAGTGCACTTTTTCTAGGTTGGACATAGGTCTCTCAGAGATCGAGCTGTCCTCTTGGAAAGCCTCTTCTCCAGTTCTCAGCTGGTCTGTCACCTGAAAGAAACCAAGCAGAACCCCAGAGTGCTCTAGAAACCTCCCCTCTCCCAGAAATGAGAGACATTCCTTCTCTTTCTGGCTAAAACCCTTTCTGCTCAGTGCAGGAGCAGTTAGGAACAGACCATATTTCCCCCTCTCTCAAGCTAACTCATAAAATGCAGTGTTACAGCACTATTACTGGCTAGGAAAACTTTCTTGTACTGTCCTGTACAGCTCTATGCACATGGTGGTTCTCGGTCTGCTCAGGGCTTTGGGCAAACAGTTCTGTAATACCAACAATTCTCAATAATAAATTGTTCTCTGTGTTCAGAGGTCACTCTTCAGCAGGAAGGGATGAAGCGAATCCGCCAGACAATGAATGACAGCAGTGCACATGGGGACAGTTTTAAAAGAAGAACAGTGCAGCAGGTATCCCGTACACAGGGCTGCACTGGCTTGGCAGTGGAACAAATTCCCAGCTGTGAAGTTGCTGTCACATAACATGTCAGAAGGTGAAGACAGGGTTCCAGGCAAAAAGACTTAGGGGAAGCAGTTTATTTCCACCTCTTACCTTCCCTGTCAACTTGGATGACCGTTTCAGCTTCAGGGAAGAGATCCCCTTGGAAATCTTGTTATCCTTTCTGCTTTCTCTCTACAACACACATTACCATTATAGGAAATTAGTTTAATGCACAGCAAGAATGATTAGTTAGGGAAGGAAAGACTCTCAAATGGAGATGTTTTTGTTTTGTCCCCTCCTGCCAGAAGGAGTTGCAGTGTTCTTCCAGGACTGACAGGGGCCCTTTTGTACTTCTGGCATTTCAAGTACAGTATCACGAAAGGGTTCCTTTGCTTTGCTCACTCTTGGTAGAACAGCACAGAAACCAAGGAAAGCAAATGAAAATACAAACATATCCCACTCCTCTCACCATATTTGGGCTGTCATTCCTGAACTGGACCTGGTTTTTCCTGCCAATTGTGTCATATATCTGTGTCATCACGGAGCCGCTCTTGCTGGTGGCATTCCTCATGCCTGGCAAACATTGCTGGCTCTGGCAGGTCCCCCATGAACCTCAGGATGATAACCCACACGACTAGAGAAGCCTGTAGTGGCAGAAAGCACAGTCAGAAACTGCCAAGAGAACTGATGGCCTCATGCTGTTTCTTCCTGTTTATATGAGAGCATTTTCTTCCTTTACCCAGTCCAAGCTGTTAAAATTCCCGTGTCCTCCTGCTGTTTACACCAGGAGTTTACTTTCATGTCAAACAACATGAGAGCAACTTTCACAACACTCTCATGCTAAAAGAAGAGGGTGCAGGTCTAGTGGGAATGTCAGACTTGTTCTGTGATTGCTGAGCCCTCACCATTCCCTTTATTGGCACCTTGCAGGTGTGCTGTGGCTGGAGTGAAGTAGAGAAACTGTGGCTGACACTCTGCATTTACCCACCTGGACAGACAAGCAGTGGAGCGAACTCTTCCAGGAGCCCTCATGCCCAGAACTAGAAAGCCAAGTAATAGCGAAGTTTTTGCAGCATGGGATCCTCCATTCTGCAAGGCTGCTTAGCATCAAGAAAAAATCCCCTCCTCAATCCCCCTATGGTTCAACAGGAAAATTGGAGGCCTGGGCCTCCCCCTTCTATCCTAACTCACAGACCAGCAACCCTAACAAGAGCAGAGAGGTGGGTGAGCTCTGTAGCGAGGTGGGCGTCAGTCTCTTCTCCCAAGTAACAAGTGATAGGACAAGAGGAAATGGCCTCAAGCTGCACCAGGGCAGGTTTAGGTTGGATATTAGGAAAAACTTCTTCACTGAAAGAGCACTCAGGCACTGGAACAGGCTGCCCAGGGAAGTGGTTGGGTCCCCATCCCTGGAGGTATTTAAAAGACGGGTACACGTGGTGCTTAGGGACATGGTTTAGTGGTGGACTTGGCAGTGTTAGGTTAACGGTTGGACTTGATAATCTTAAGGGTCTTTTCCAACCTTAACGATTCTATGATGCTTCTTCTCTCCAGTCTGTTTTTGCCCCCAAAGGGTATCTGGACAAGTCAAAACAAGCCTCAGCGTTCCCTCTTTAGGCAGACTAAAGGTGACCAGAGATGTTGTGTTGGGCAGGTATCTGTGTGAAATGCCTGCCTGCAAAGTGCCAAAAAATGCTGATGGGAACTGCTACTTTCATACAAGTGCTTAGGACTATCTGCTTGGCTCTAAAGTCTCTGGTTCCCAGGGCTGTGCCAGAGGTGGGGGGACCCAAGGGTGAGGGGAGCTGTAGAAGCCAGGGCTGTGGAGGGAGCAGGTTCAACAACAACAAGGAGCAAGATACCAAGACGTTGTCCTTGTCATCATGGTAGAGTAGTGGGTGCCGCAGCTGTCTCCGGATATGTGTATGTGTAGATGACCCCTGGAAATAAGTAGCTGCAAACTTTGGGAAGGTGTATTCTTCCAAGCCATCTGCTTCCTCTTCTAGCTCCACACTCATGGGAACCATGTCCAGGTCCACCTCAACCAGCTTGTTAGGCTTTGTTTCCAAGTCCTGTGCAGAACATAAGGAAGAAGCATATTTTCTTTCCCTGTTCTTATTTTATGGTTTTGGTTTTTTGTTGTTTTTTTTTCTTCTTGGCCGTAGGTCCTCCAGAATTTGGCTTTCCAGCTAACCCCAAAGCCATTTTCAGCTGCTACCAAGAGATCACTGCGACTCAGAGCTTTTCCTTCTGAGATGCATCCATTCCATATGACCTTCCTGTCTTGGTCTTCAGCAAAAACATTGCTGATGGAAAATCCAGGTGCTATCTCATTGCTCACATCCTGCACTAACCCAGACCATTCTACTCTGCTTCCCGCTCCCTCCACGATTCCATCCTCCACAGCTGTCAGGACCAGTATATCTCAAATTTTGCTTTTAAGAACATGGGATAACTTGGGTCATGAACTTCCAGCTTGTTTCAGCCAGAAAATCACTGAGAGCACTGTCAGCAGAACATGTGGTTGGCGCCAAAATGCAGAGAATGGCACTATTTGGTGATGGTCTGCTGGGCCAAAGAAACAAATGTGCAGTAGCTTTTGAAGACATATAGTGCCCAAACTGCATGTGACCAAAAACTTTTGGGAACTGACTCTGAAAGCAGATCCTGAAGAGGCTGTCTGGATGACTAATCTGGGTGATTCTTTCACTGTAAACAGAATGGACCACTGATGGAATTCCAACAAAGTCAGTGGACTTACATGAGGGATGAAAATGACCCATTACCAGTCTGCAGCTCTGTACCTCAAAACCCAGAGGAGCCTGTCCTTCCTGGCCTCCGATCATAGAAGGTAAAAACCCAAAAATTTTGTCCACCATTTCTTGGTCGCTGATAACATCATGATTTGTTGGTTTATTGGCAAGAGCATTCCTCCTTTGTCTTGCTTCTGCCTCCTCTCTCTCCAGAGCAGCCAGGTGTTCCTTTAAACATAGAAGCTAGTTAGACATGACTGGAACATCATTCTGCTAGAATGAACGGGTGCAAGGATGAAACACTATTACAAAGGTGTTATGACAATGAGGTCCAGCTCTGCTAGGGCAGTGTTGGAATGTGAAGTCAAATGTTGCTTCTGCTAAGCAGTCACAAAGACCTAGCACGCCAGCAGCAGGGACTTGCTCTTACAGCTGTCCTCATAGACGGTTGGCGTATTGGTAATGATGTGCAATTTTTCAAGAACTTTATCAACAAGAGATAATACAGGAAAAACACAGAATTCCTAAAGCAGAAAACCCCACATTATTTAAAATTTAAAAATCTTTTGTGTCAAGGGGCTGTAATAGCATTGTGCATGTTTGGCTAAAGCGCTAGCTCATACTGCAAACAGAAATGTGCATGTGTTTGCCTTGTCCCATTTCTAAAGCATCATTACAAATAGTTTTACAACTATGTCTGGTTTTTATTAAAATATAGCAGTGCCCAGATCTTTGAGCAAGTCCACAGGTGTGAGCTGGGCAAGCCATCTTGTCAGCCAAGGAACACAGCATTCAGTGTTCCTCCACCAACATACTTACCTTTTCTAATCTCATAGCTTCTTCCCTTGCTTTCACTGGTCCAAGGACTTGAATGAGACGTTTCTCTTCTTCCAAGCGGATATTCCTGGCTTCCAGCTTGCAATTGTTCTGTGGACAACAGGACCATTCTGTGATTGTTTCCACAACTGCTGAGCCAGCTCCCTTCTGTCATTAACAAGCTGTCCACACCAGGACTTTATCCCAACATGAACTCAGTTCTAGATTTGGCATTTTAGGGAACAGGCCACAGGCAGAAATCTGCAAACTGGCTTTGTCCTGTTTGTACAGCATTAATACAGAAAGGAAATCATAGAAAGGCCTCCCATGTGCTATAGACCGCCAAGGCAGTAAGTACAGGATTTTCTCTGGCAGCGCATACCAAGACACACTGCGTTAGGATTCCCTTTTGAATGAATCCCTAAGTGACATTATCAAGCCTTGCTGTAGAAATTGATCTTCCCTTGCAGGAGTGACTATATACATGTGCATCTTATCTTTTTTTTCTCCCTGCTGTCCAAAACGTTTCAGCTGTGTCAGTGAAGTTTTGATCCATGATAATGAACACAGAAAGCAAGCACAAACAAGATCATCTGCTTAAAACTCTGCTTTCATACTTGACAAGAGCTCAAAATAAAATAACCCAAAATAAATATCCACATCCAGTGCTATGCTATGGCAACACTTGCTGGTCATTAAATCTCTATCAGATTCATAGAAACAACAGGTTCACAAGGTATCTGTGAGCATACCTCCCTCTTCATCCTCTGGTAGAGTTGGCGAGCAAACATGCCCCTTGCATAAGCTTGTATAACACATACAGCTTTCTTCTGCTCTGCTATCTTTTGACGCATTAGATAACCGCGGCACACGGCTTGAAGCCTGATGATATGAGCCCGGGTTGCTTCATACTGTTTAGCAAGCTGCCGGCTCCGGTAGAGGGCCTGCAGGCGCCCAAAACCCAGCATAACCTGTAGGAGGTGGAGGAAAAAGAAGTGATTATGGTTCAAAACCATTGAGACTGGGAGTAAGTTGGGATGAGTAGAAGATAATAACATTCAGTAACTGGATTAAGACACTGGAAGGGGCTAATACAATACTGCCTTTTATGCTTTATTTTCTGCCAGTAATAGGCTTTTAAAACTAGACTATATAGAGTTCTTTTGGGGACCTGTTCTAGGGAGTGGCTCCAGGAAGTGACAATGATAGCCTGGGATTATGACAGGGGAAGGAAGCAAGCAGAAATGAAACCAAGTGTACGGGAAAAAAAAAAGGCATGTCCTCGGAGAGATGGGTATGACAATCCCAAAAGAAGCAGCAGAGGAGGATGGGGCAGAGTGCAGGACAACAGCCTGGCTCTTCAGACAGGAATTGCATCACTGATGCAGAATAGAAAATGTTTCTGGCTGAAACTGGCAGTTTCTCCTCTTGCCTCTTGCAAATGGGATGTATGAGATACATTAGTAATAATTCGTGCCACATGAATACACAATATGCAAGTGTCCCCAATATGGTGTAGCTTTCCTCATCCAGAAAACCCACCATCTATAGAAAAACAGCCAATATTTTTAATAATGTGAGATTGATATAATGATTTTTCTGGTTTTTTTTTACAGATTCCCAGTTTTCCTGTAACAGTTGTGGAAGACGCTTTGCTCATAGCGTGGTGGTGATGCACAAATGCTAGCCTTGGACTCCTGACTAGAAGAAGTGTGGGATCACTCATATGTCAGGTCGCCAGAACCAGGCCTGCTAGAGGTTAGTTGCTTTCACCAGAAAGCAGACATGTCACAGGTTCAGCACACCTGAGAGGTCCCAGAGCCCTCCTTGGATTTTACACCCTTCTTTACACCCTGCCATCTTGCCGCTCCTCCCTTCAGTTGTGAATATCTTCATTCCTAATACTCCACTCAGTCTGGCAGGCAATAGTATATAAACACACACACACACACAAATATTTGTATAAATACATATACACCCGCCTCTTACCATTCTGAAATCCTTCCGGCAGCAGTAGCCTCGCCAGGCTGACTGAATGGCTACAGCAGACTTTCTCTGTTTCAGAAACCGCTTCCTAAGCAGACAGACAGGTGAGGTGACAAGCAATAGGTTATTTGTGCTGCTTCTTATGATAATAGTAAAGAATAAGGTGGCGTTTTTTTCCTTTTATGGGTTATCTACAGTCTGATCTTAGCCTTGTCTGCCATCTAGGAACACTAGAGCCAGGAAAGCTATTGTCAAACTAACTAGCTCAATTATTAGTAGACGTCTTGCCAGGGCAAGTTTGAAGGTCAGTGTGGGCTGTTCCTCCTGTTTCTGAGTAGCCCAAGAAAAGTATTCTGTTGCAGCAGAAAAATTAGTCTGGTCAGATACTTTTGTACTACATGCTTCAAAATTATCCTCACTCAAAGAATTTTGTCTGCTTACGTGTTCTTCATGCTGATGGAAAGGCCAGAATAGGCTGTTTTGCCTGACCTTTTCTGTCAATAAAGGCAGAGATTTCACCTAGGCTCAGCTCATTCTGCAAGTGAAGCAGCATCATGAATCAGTTGAGCTCACAAAGTATTTTCCTATTTGCTTTGCTATCCATTTGCTAGTAGAAAGGATGAGAGAGAAGTATTATTAATACACCTTGATACATCCGAGCTGACTTTGCCCTTAATGCTGCAAAAATACTCATAGCAACTGCAGACCAAACTCATTGCTGTGGTAGGAGAGCTCTGTAAGAACTGAGAAAGCACCCTTGCACCAAGCCTGGATAAGTTAACTCCCCCATCTGATGACCAGTTGCTCCCCAGTGTCCTAACTGCCAGGGCTAGGAGCCCATCTGAGAAAGATGAACTTCCCATGGTAAAAGCTGTCACACTGTGACTGTCAGAAGTGGCATGTAGCTCTGACTGTTTAAAAATAAAAGTGAGATGAGGCTTTTAGGGAGAGGTGATACTCTGTTAGATAGCAGGCAGAGTTTGAAAAAAAGGGGAAGGTTTTGGGCATTTGTGTCATGTTTTATAGTTCTTGCTTCTCTACTGTCAGGAATATTTCTAAACTAAACCAGGATTCAATCCTATATCATGGTTCTCGTTAGGGGATACAAAATTAATAAGTACAAATCATGATGTAAAACATTTAATGAGGACAAACATTTATTTGACAATGACTAGATCTCACTTCTGAAGATATTTCAAACTAAACCAGACAAAATGCAAGAACATTTGGCAAAGGGAAGGACTAGTTAGTTTCCATCTGATTCTCTTCTATGTCTTTTATCAGAGAAGCATCCTAAATAAAGGAGTCCTTGTAGCTCTGAGAAGGACACAGATTCCATGGGGATTTCCTGCTTTCCAGATACCTATTGTTTACTGGAAATATTAAGTGCAAATCCTCCTTCCAGCCCTTCCTCTTCATACAAGCTGCATGTGCCACAGTGCTGCATTTTGAAAAGCATCAGGAACATAAAGAAACTGAGCCAGAACAAATCTTTGTGCAAAATCTGCATAGATGCACTGTTACATGACAAGCACTGAATTTAGGGCTAGTGGAAGGTATGGATTGATACATTTCATACTCAAAAATGCTTCACAGAGCATGTTAAACTGCACCACAAAGATCACTGCTTCAAACCAAAGCAAATTCCCTTCTGCAAGATCACTGACCTGTCCTTCAATCCTCTCATCACCTTCTGGATAAGAAGAACCTTATCTGTGAGTATATTTTGGCGTTGCAGCTCCAGTACTGTATCATGGTGATCCTGTTAAAAGAAAGTGTGCATATGCCAGCTGAGCAGACCCCCCCCCCCCAGCTTCTGAAAACTGGACACATGGTCTGAAAGAGGCCCCAAATCAGCATGATGTAGTGTGATTAAAATGCATTTGTGGAACTGCAGCAGGAAGAGTGCATACCACCTGACCACACCATGTCTGGCTGTAGCTATAAACAGAGAATCTGCCTGCAGTAAGACTGTTTTTACCTGGGGGAATGCTACAGACAAGGAAGTCCCCTGCAACGGTATGCTGGTATCCAGTTCTTTTTTATGCTCAAGGCTTGAGCAGAGACCAATACTGTGCTGTTTTAGCTGGAACACTGGAGCACAGGAACAGGATCAGCCTCTCCTACACCAGGCTGTGTCCATTAAATTAACTTGGCCTTCAGGAAAAAAGATTCAGCCTCAGATTCAAGAGAGAGTTTATAAGAGAACCCAGTCCTTCTGGATCACCACTCTTGCACAAGCAGGTCAAGCTATACTGTGAAGCACACGGTTTTTCAGGAGAAGAGACAATAAACTGTCCTTTCTACTTACTTTAAGGAAAATCTTGGTCTTTCCAGCTTGCCAGCTTTCATTCTTGCCCAGCACTGCTTCAGAGATGCTGATACAGCTCTGTCGAGCATCATTCTTCAGCTGATGTGCAAAAGCATCATCATGTTAGGGCTTGGTTGGAAACACAGCACACTACGTAAGGATCTATTGCTCTGCATTTCAAAGGGCGAAGAACAGAAACAGATGAGGTCTTACAGACCTCTGGGCTGACAGTATCATGAATTAAAGTGGTTCAGCTCAAATGGTCAAGAAACGGAGGAACATGAGTGCATGGCCAAGCATTCCAGAGTTCAAGTGTGAGGAGGGTGTTAGAGATCTCAGAAGTGTGTGATTAGAGAAAAGAAACATCTGAGGGCAATGGGGATGCCACCTTGCCTGGGATGTCTGTGTGGAGCAGGTCAAGGGTAGCTGGACCTAAAAGCACAACTACCGTTTCAGCTAAGGTCCAAGTGAGTATATAAGTATTTAGCTACAGTTACTGCGATGACAGTTACCGTGATGACCGCTCTCTCAACTGTGCCAGCAATAACCCAAGAACTTTCTACTGTGGGAAAGACTAAACCCTCATAAGGAAAAGTTAGGTTAGCCTTAAACCAAGTTTGTGGTAACACACCTGTTCTCGAAGAGACCATGGCAGGAGAACTCTGTATCTCTCAAAGAACTCCTCAAAGCTGTAGCGAATTGGGTAGCCAGCTTTCCTGATCTGTATAGTCTCCATCATCCCTGAATATCGCAGCTGTTTGATGCACAGCTCCCGGTCGAACAACTGAAAGGGAAAGCAGACAAGGAGGAGACTTAGCACTGAAAGCAGCCACACATACAGCATTCCTCAGAACATATCTATTAACCTCCAACCTCAGGGTGCCTACAAAATGGCCTACTATTCTTCTTTTAATTGCACTTCTTATTTCTTTAGTGCCCTAAATTAATTCATTACAGGCCTAAACAAGTCACCCCAAAGGGTCTTCAACTTTGTGTTTATCAGCAATGGAAACAGTCCATTAACTTCAGTCTGGCTTGAGCAACTGTTTTCAATTCTAGAACTGCAATTTCAGATGAACAATAAATTGTTCATATTATTTTGCAGGTGCAAATAACTGTAGCAGCAACTTGGGCCCTTTGGGCATAGCCATGGAAAACATAGTATGAGTGCTCCTAGTTGCTTGTAATGCAGATTAAAAACAGGCTCACTAAGCCACATAGCCACATGCAGTACTTTAAAAATGATTAGGTCACTTGACCAACACCATACAAGGTTTTAATGTAGAACTGGATCGTGATCTCCTGAGTTCTAGCCAAGCGTCTTAATGACAAACTTGCTCCTCTTCTCCTGTAGTGTCAAATTAAGCCACATCACCCCTCTCAAACACCAACAGCTCTCCTATTCTCTCTCAGGCTATTTCATAGTATGATCTTTGTTGGATCCTAATGTTTTTTGTTTGTCCCCTTATTGAGGGGCTAGAAACTCTCCAGTTTTGTCTTTATCTTTACAGGAAAGGCTTTTACAACTCTCCTCAGGAATACACCTATGTGCTTTTTTGCCATCTATTACTCTATGATGCTTTGAGAGATGTTTCTGTAAATTAACAATGCTATATCCTACCACCCTTTTTATTCTAGTAATAGCCTGTAGTCCAGCTCTTCTTGGCTGAAGTACAGATATGAAATGCTACACAGCAACTGACAGCTTTTTCTCATTAAAAAATTTACTGAAGACAAGACCTCATATTGTTAAAACATTACCAGTGGTTTCTTGTAGTCATTTGGCTTGATGCAGCGGATGAAGTATGGCTGGCATTGCTCAAGAATTTTCATTAGTTTTTCCAGGGATTGCTTGAACTGTCCTCCCAGAGTAGAGAGCCGTTTGGTGGTATCCAAGCCCTGGGAAGAGTAAGCATATGCTGACTGCTACATCATTCACTGTCAGAGGGCCAATTAATAAATCTTTATGGTTTCGTACAATGTAACAGTATCACACAACTGCCAGAAAAAAAATATTTACCTACATGGGAGCTAAATCGGCCATCTGCATCTTACTAAGTTGGGTTTATCCTTGCAAAGAAACCCCACTGAGCTCTTTCACCTACTTGGGCACTAAGTTCTGGCAGTGGGGGTGGCTGCAGTGGAAGAAATTCCACCCACACAAACCCACATAGGCCTGTCTCTTCCAGCCAAGGCTGCATTCAGTGTAGGGCTTGGGTGCCAAGCTATTATTCCTGGGTGTGTGCCTGAAAGCTTGGTGAGAAACCACCACTCCCAAAGCAATAATAACCTCCAGGCCAAACATTTTGCTGCCATCTCATAGCTAACTAGGAATGCTAAAGAACCAGAACAGCTCATTCCTTAGTGATTAGGATGACTGATCGCCTTGCTCATTAATACTACAGTAAGCAGTGAAAAGGCAAACTTTTACTGGAGGATAAGGTAAGAGATAATCGATTTATGGCTGCAGACAAAGTGCTTTATGTCTCACCACTCCTGGGTTGAATTTTGCTCCCAGTTGCAATAGTGTAACCTCAGAGGGATTGCACTTGGCTGCAGTTAGCTCCTGACTTCCCTAGCTTCTCTGAAAGCACAGTTCCACCTATGTCTTTTTCATGCAGATCATCACAATAGGCCTAAGCTTCTACCTCCTAGTACGTTTTAAGGGCACATTAAATTACGGTGACAACAACGCAGATTCCAAGTAACAAAAGGACTCCACTGGCCTTTTATGTACAGGCATGGAGCTAATCATTGCAGCACAATACAGCTAGTTTGTTTGTTTTGAGGGTTTTGGTGGGTTGTGGGTTTTCTGGGTTTTTTCCAAGTAAATAATTTAAAGTCCAGTGGCTCCCCTCACTTCCATGGTCTTTATGGTACCTCATTCTGCTGGTTCTTATGTATAAGTGCCCTTTTTAACACTCAAGTTGCCACCTTCTGCTTTAGCTACAGGGCAATGCTGCCCTCCAGCGACGAAACACTCACGCCTTTGGAAAACAATTCCTGGGAATGTCTCATGACAGCTCTGATGCATCTTAGGGGCTAGCAAGCATCTGTTTGAAGTAGATATGATAACAGCATATACATGTTTAAGCTGTATAAGAGTTAAAAGCAATTTGCACTCCCAGATCTTGGAGGCCTTTCTGCTGTTCCAGTAAATCAGTGGGATGGCCACACAAGTCTGAAGCCCGAGCCCTCGTGATCTCACACATATAACATTGTTAAAGCTGAATTTGTTGTTAAGATGGTGGTGACTTTTCTCCTCCGGTGTGCCAGGAGAGCAACTCTGAGACTTCAGGACAGCAAAGTTTTTTCTGGCACTTCATTCACTGTCCTTTTCTGTAGCCTGCTTCTTAGGCTTCCCAAGGGTGGCCCAACCTATTTGAAATTAATACGGGTATCTCAGCTAACTTCTGTGCATTTTGAAATGGGCAGTAGCCCACATTTAGTATCTCCTTTCTTGGCATGCTGCTGTACTTTCTAAATGTAAGGAAAGGGTTTTTTTCAATAACACAACCTTATTTGTAGAGACAAAACCCATTAGAGCATTAGAGCAATGTAGATAGACCTGGTATTTAATCTGAAGATATTCATAGCATTTAAGAGATGCTAAGCTAGCTCTCTGTTGCTGCTTGTACCACTTCTGACATTCTTCTCCCCCAGGATGTTTACCTGTCCATGGCCAGATGTCCTGGACAGCAGAAAGCCACATTGGGATAAAGACTGAGGAAGAAAGGACAGGATCAGAAAATAATACCAGGAGAACAGCAGGTAACAGGTAAGATAGCAAGCTGTTTGTTCTGTACCCTGACAGGAAAACTCAAAGATGTAAATATTAAAAGCAAAAGTACCTTCACACAATGATGACACTGCATAGTTAAACACTTAGAAATCAAGGTATGTGAAAGTTGCAGCAGGGCAGAGAACTTGAACTCTGCCCCATGCTGTTTCCAGTCCACTGGACTTTACAACCTCATTTTCGCTAGGCACAGGACAAGGCTCCCTACACCACTAAGCACACATGATTCTGTGATAATTAGCCATCACGAACTTTGTCACAAAGCCTCCGGGCCAGGAGGGAGAGCTAAAGTTGCAGCAATATGCAGGGCAGTGAGACTGTGTCTGCAGGTGTCACTGGGAGCAGAAGACACAGTATCTTTCTGTGACAGCACAGCTATTTGCTCCTTTGTGCTACCCTGTCAGGCCTCTGCAAGAACGAAAAGGCCAGGACCCACCTGCCAGTTGCCCAGTCAGACCCCTTGGTGTTAGGGTCCCAGCAGACTGGCTACATGTGCAGTATGGCAGCAAGTTTAGCTGCTGGCTTCTGAACAGCTACTGGCTTTGCAGAGGGGTCTCTGGTTGGTGCTTTGTTCCATTCCAATGAACCTTTTGAACTACAGTTTCCTCCTACTAATTTACACCCATCCTGGCAATGTGGATGCAACATGGATGCCCAAGCAGACACAGAGCAAACCCATCCAGTTGATGACAACGTGTGGGGAGGTAGCATGCTCATGCTTCTGTGACAGCCTGCAGGCATGGCTACACAGATGTCCAAGGATGCAGTCCTGGGAGACAGGGCTGACATTACACTTGTTTAAAGCATTAACACCAGCCCTTGACTTTTCTGGCAGACTCCTTTGCAGAAATGAGTTGAATGAAAGGGACAGGGATTTGCAGAGACAGTGCAAAAGAAAGAGGAGGTCAGGAACAGCCAGAGGAGGAGAAATTAGTTGTTCCTGCAATCCAGTGCCAGTAAGCCAACCTTGTAGGCCTGGTCAGCTCCAAGATGCCGGATGGTCCCGCGTCCCAGACTAAGTGGGGTCGTTTCCACCTGGAAAATCTCTCTCAGGAATTTGTTTTTGGAGGAATGAACCACTTGCATTACATTAGCACTCAGTGTGTCCCGATTTTTCTCCAGGAAATCTATAGGATGGAAACAAAATCAGCTTGTCACCTCTGCAGCCTGCTGGCTCTAGGACCACACTGTCTAGCTAAAATCCACTTCGTTTACAGTAACTTGCAGATTAGTTTAGAGTAATCCTCCTGACCTCCTGATCTGAGTTCAGATCAACACTACCCTGGAGTGCCACACATCCAGGGCAGGTCATGCCCTTCTCTCCACCCTCCGTATCCAGCAGAGACAGGCTCACCTTTTGATTCATAAAAGACAACTCCAGCAAAGTGGTTGATGCCAAACTTGGTGTCATGGACACTCTTAGGTGGGATGTAGATGTTACTTTTGCCATGGAGGGAATTGATTTTGATGAGCATGGTGGCATCTGTGCCCTAGAAAAAAATACAGACAAAAAAGGACAAATACAGGCAAAAAAGCAGATTTCCCCCAGCATGGGGCTATGATCAGCAAACAAATAGAAGTGGTGCTCTGAGATAGCAAAAGCTCAAATTCTCCCCCTTATTTGTGTAGTAGATCTGGAGAAAGGTAGTGCCAGAAGTGTCTTCCCTTTTACACAGACCCTTCTCACAAGCATCAGGACACAACACACCACCAGAGTGTAAGGCCTGGTATTTTAGGGCTGTACACAAGCCCCCATAACATAACATTACTAACATCACCAGGTGCGCTGAGAATTTCCCAAACGTTTGGACCTCACAAGCAGAGATCCCCACCAAGGTTCATATGCCATCCTACCCAGCCATGCTCTGAGGGGTGCATCCTCCTTCTCCCAGGGAGGCACAGTTCTTCTTTCACTCCCCAACTGGTGGAAGACTCACAGATCCCTGGAAGAAGGCTGCCCTGAGCAGTACCAATCAGCATGCCCAGATCATAACTTCCACAGGCAGGCAGGCAGCTGGGTGCTTCTCTTCAAGGGGTGCCGTCACAATCTCATTCCCTTGTGGTGCATGTGAGGCTAGCTCTGCTCACTGGTCTGTGCTGGGGCAGCGAGTGCTGTATTATCTGAGAAGTTATATGCTCCGGAAATCATAGAGGAGTTGCTTTCTTGTCCTGACTGCAGGACATACCATGGGGACCACTCGCTTCTCAGGGAAGAAAGGGGAAAGCTGTCTGCCTGTACATGATCCTCTCAAAACATTACCTGAGGACTACAAATAAGCTGAGGCAGCGGCCTGGTTTTCTGGACAAGCCCACATTGCCATCTGATTCCTGTACTAGCACTCCTGCTTAGCCTCACCATGCTCTGGATACTATGAAAATGCTCTGCAGGGATGTCTGAGATCAGATGCTACTTTCATCTCTGCTCTTTTGTTTGAGATGCCTGGCCTTTGCAGAATAACATTTCCTCACAATGGTGACATTGCTCAACTAGGTCTGTCATCCAGGAGAAGAAAGAGCAAGCTGCAGCCCAGACCAACAGCAGAACAATACTCAAATAATATGCAAATTCAAAGATTTCCTAAGAAGCCATGAGGGTGGTTAGACACTGGAACAGGTTGCCCAGAGAAGTTGTGGCTGCTCCATCCCTGGAAGTGTTCAAGGCCAGGCTGGATGGGGCTTTGAGCAACCTGGTCTAGTGGAAGGTGTCCCTGCCCATGGCAGAGGGGTTGGAACCAGATGATCATTAAGGTCCCTTCCAACCCAAACCATTCTATGATTCTAAGCCCTTGTAAAATGATCCAGACTCCTTCCTTCTCTGTCTGGAACAGCTGTTAAGAGTTTCAACAGGGAGGCATCAGGAAGAGCACGCTCCAGCAGAGAGTGAAGCATTTGTATAGTGAGCTAATTTAAAAGGAACATCTATGGGGAGAAGACATTGTCTCTCATAATGTATCTGAAAGCCACCTTTGCACTTTTCTGTGTGTAAAGCCAAGCGTTACCTGTGAGCTGTGTGCAAAGCCAGGCATTACAGGTGAAACCAGAAATTTACCTTTGGGAACTTGCTCTCTTCATCAATGAGGGAGATGATATTCATAGGCTTGAGTGCGATGACTTCCAGAGCCTGGCGGTTATCAGTGAAGTCAATGTTATTCCAGGTAATGTGCTCTGCAAGGTATTCCTCTTGCTCCAGCTTGAAGACATGGTGCACAAAGAACTGCTGAAGGTGCTCATTGGCAATGTTAATGCAGAGCTGCTCAAAGCTGCAGGGGGGACAAGATGGGAACCCATGGTCACCCTTGGCCAGTGCTGCTCTATGGTATTTGTTTATTGTCTGTATTAAATACATATCCAGATATACTACTGCTATATTCCACAGTGCTAATGATCACCACCACTGCATGTTGCCAATCTTAGCAATATAAGGGATGCATTTTCTGCTATGATAAAGGTAAGCAGAAATGAGCCAACTGACAATGGAGTGTTGCTGAGCAAGCAGGGAAAGATCTTGTATATGTTTCAAAAAACTCTAGAGATAAAGGGGAACACATAACTGTGAAAATAGCTTGACTGTATAGTGTGTGACGTGTTTTTACTTGCACTGGCACTACCACTTCTTTTGTTAGTTACTCCTTAATGCTGCACCTGAGTTTCATTACCTGGTAATTGCTGTGGCACACTGTGTGTGCCTGTGGAGTACTCATCACAGTGAGGCTCCATGTGGATTGCAGCCTTTGGGAATAGCATAAAATAATAGGAGAGAACACAAAAGGTAGTAGATGGGCTGAACAGATCCTAGACTATGTTCCAAAAGTCAGTGAGGAATATTATCTTGTTGAAAGCAAGCAAGATGCATCAGTTGGAATTGATTGCAAAAGACTACAGGATATGTGCTGATGGTTTGTGGAGTACTGATGATATGGTACCATAAAACTGAGAGAATTGTTGCCCCTGTAGAGAAGGGCAAACAGAAATGGTGCTTTGGGACTGAAACCACCAGTAGGAGAGGTAGCAGTGGGACAATGGTATACTGACCAGCTGTTTTGCTGATCTGTCCTTTAGAGTAGAGAAATTAAGCAGCCCCAAAAAAGGGATGAAAGAACACTGAGCAAGATGGAAGCATGAGCTGAAATGGGAAATACTACATGGCCTCCTTTGTACTATATGCAAAATGTATCCCAAGAGACATTGTAAAAATGCTATGAAACAAGAAAGTTTGGTACAGACACATAGGGACATACTACATCCTCACATAGTGGCTGCCTGCTCATAGCAGCTTCATAGCCATCTCCTCTGAGAAAATTCCTGAGGTTTTGGAATAGACATGTGAAATGGCTGCACCAAAATGAAGGTTGGGGGAGGAGGCAGAAATATGACCAAGACTGAAGAAAAATGGAATCTGTGCATGATCATCACTGGGAAAATTCAGTGATGGAAATTTCACTGCTTTTCTGAGAATCAGGATGATAATGAAAGAGCATGTCTGTTTTTTCATTCTTTCCCTTTACATCAGCTGCTTTTCAGCTTCCCACTGGAAATGAATCTAGAGCCTCCTACCTGTTGTTGCTGAAGTTTTCAAACCCAAAAATGTCCAACAGCCCAATGGACTGATGTCTGTCTTTAGGCTTCTGAGAAGTTGGGTTGAAAATGGCTGAGTTGATCTTGTTCACTATCCACAAGAAAATCCGTCCATATATACCCTGAGAAAAAATTAAAGAGGAATCATTACAGTCTTTGGACATAGCTTACTGCTTGCCATCATGCTGCTACAATGCTGTCAAACTATGCCTGAAAACTACGAGGGACCGGAGCCCTCTGGGTGAACGTTTGCCACATAAGGCTCCTCAACCAGCTCTGAAAGCATCCTCAATCTTTAAACAGAGAAGATGTAAGCACCAGTACCTTCACAAAGGCATCTCTCCCATCTGCAGCTTGAACTATGTTCAGAGGCCTGGACACACTTTCTCCTCGGACAATGATGGAGAGGTTTGTAAGGCTGTGCTGGAGTTCACTGGAGTCCACCTGGAGGAACAGTCATGGCAACCTGGTCATTCCAGGTGGATAAAGGAGATCCAGCAAACTCTGTCTCAGGAAGAGGGCCATGACAAACTGCCTGTCCAGCAGCATTCACTGGCAGCTTGCTGTCCCAGTTAAAGATCTAGCTCAGACAGACATCTGCAACAGCATCACTTGAGTGTCAGAGAAGAAGACATGCCCATTATATGTGCATCCATACATAAACACTCCACAGAGACATGCTTTGTCAGTGTGCTCAGGGAGCAAGGGTGGAGGAGAGAACTAGTACATGTGAGTCCATTACCTCAAGCAATTTGGTTGCGATTGAAAAGTGTGGTGAGTCCATCACATCAGAGCAGTCCAAGTTGTCGTACACAGCCGCTACAATGAGGAAACAGTCAATCTCAGGGTGAATGATTTCTGCTACGGTGGGGGGCTGTGCTGTTTTTGCAGCCATATTTCTGCAACCCTGTAGCTCTGGGAATGTGGCAAGGCAGTAAGCCCTCTTTTGAAACTCCTGGGTTTGATGATTTTACTAAAGAGGGTCCTGATTTCACCCAGGGATCCTGGGATGTATGGGGCCCTCACAACTCCAGCACATCAGGCTAAAAATAGCAGCAAAACTGACAAGGTTATTAATTTTAAATAATAGCTATTGGGGATCTGGGGAAGTAGTATCTGACTTCAGAAAATGTGTTTCTGAAAATAATTTTTTCCATGTATCTGACTTGTGGGAAATTTAGACAAAGAAAGGGAATGAGGGAAATCCCTCATTTTAGCAGCCAGCATTACTCCAAAGAATCCATCTGGCATCACTGTATTGGGCCCTCTCTATCACAAAGTGAGAAGGAGTCCTTTTCGAAAATGTGAGAGCTTCTGGCATCCCGCTGGTGGGTATCTCACATTGTGCCCGTGCCATCCAGAAGTGCACTTAGGCAGGTGAGTGTTCACCAAACCCAGCCAGGAAAATGACTGCTATCATCTCCATGGCATACATCACTCAATTGCTGCTGTGTCCTCTGGCTTATGTAGCAGAACAATCAGCAAATGTAACATGGCATTATATTATCTGTTGTTTCATTTTGTGTGATAAGGGCCTTTTTATAACCATGGAAACCTGATGGTGTGACAAAATAATAATAAGATAATGTTTTTTAAAACACTAGAGCAGCACAACCTAATCTGTACAGATAGAAGCAGGCAGCACCTTTAGGCCTTTACCATGGAGTCTGAGGAAAGGCCAAGCACAGACAATGCTGAGTTTACCTTCAAACTCTACATTCCCCAGGTGCAGGATTGCAGCCAGCAGCTTGCTGATGTCCCAGTGCTCAGAATCTGAGAACATGAGGATCTTCATGGCCGAGCGGATGTGGGCATAATCCTTTGCATCATTCCGGCCATCACAGGACATGCAGTTGCCCTGCAGGACACCACAGCCACAGGTAAGGAATATCCTCCCAGTACCCACACAAGGAAGAAAGGACCTGCAGACTGACAAACCCTTGTACACAATGTGGATGCCCTGTGAGCCACTTGCCACAAGACACAAAGTAAAAACCTATTTAGACATTCTGTATGCTCTTCCTTCTTCCCATGGCTGTTTCTTCCCTCATCTCTACTCCCAGAAATAACGCATTAGCACAGGGCTAAATAATGCATTTCTCCAGGGCCAGACTGAACACTGGGGAAGCCAACAGGAAAAGCTGAGGGGAAGGCTGCTCTGGAGCACAGAAGGACAGGAAACTTTGAGAAGGCTACCTACACTTACAAGGCCATGCCTATTGCCTTGGTCTCCTCTCTCTGCCTTGCCAAAGGACAATTAAGAGTCCTAATCCCAAATCAAAGCAAGTAGGATTGGATCAGTACTAGAAGGCAAATCTCAAAATAAGAGTATTAGGATCTAGTGGAAGGCAGATGGAAGCATCCAAGGCAGCATCAGAAGAATCTTCAGCAAAGCCTTCACAGCAGATCCTAGGATACTGCTCCTGACAGAAACTATTTTCAGCCCTAATGGAGATGGGAAAATGCCTTTTTTATCCTTGCTATTACCAACAATATAGTGTGATGATTACAAAAGTGAAGTATTTCTAGACATTTCAGTTTACAGCATGTAAACATGCCAGCTTGTGCCAACAGCTGACCTGAACAAAACCATGGATATGTTCTCTTTTAATCTAATCCTCCTGTCTCTGTATTATATTGCCCTACTGCTGACCCAAGGAACTTCAGACCTTTTTATGGAATAGCCAATGTGTGAATTGCACTCATCAGCTCTTGCTGCAAGATCACTGCTATTTTGAAAACATTACATTTGAAAAAATCTCCAGCAACTTTAATGGTTTTGCTTTTGAGTCTCCAGAAACAACTTTATAAGCTTGATTTAATTTCCTCTGAAACTAGATGCCCAGCTCCCATTAGCTTAATCAGAGGCAGGACTTAGCCCCATTTTTCTACAGCTGTAGAACAGCCCAAATCAAACCAGATGACATATTTAATATGAGGTATCTGCACAGGCTAAAGAACAGGATTTTCACAATGCCTTTCATACCCTAAACCAACTGATTAGCTGTTTTCAAAAATCCACCTATGAACATCCCACCCCTGCCACTATGGCAACATAAACCCAGACATGGACACTACCATTAGCTGTTGGAGGTTAGATTGAATGCCAGCTTCCTGTGTTTGTATATAAGATTTATCAGATATAAGGACTAGGATTCTTGGCACTGTTTCTGCTTATTCAATTTTCCCCTAAAGTATATATATCTGATTAGTATTCTCCCTGGCATGAGATCTGAAATCCGAGTACCTGTGAAAGTGGGGAATATTTCCCACCTGCTTTAAGATGTCCTTTATGTTTCTTAAGTCTTTGATAGAAAGCTTTGACCTGCCACAAGCTGCCTCCCACTGGTGGACATTACAATAAATCTCTGAAACTGAGGCTCACAGCACTTTTGGTGTTACTGCTTCTGGTACGCTAAGGAAAGGACTGTTCAGGTTTCGTAACTACCCATCTGCAGCTCCTGTTGATTGTAATTGCTTGCTGGGAGAAGCAAATGGCAGAGGGATAACGGAGAAGAAAGCAGAGACTGTTACCATAGTGAGATAAGTGTACTCTGAAGCAGTGCCCAGATTCAGCATCTTCTTCTGCTCTGTATTCATCCCCATTAGCATGCAGTAGAAGATGTGATAGTTCCTCTCCTCTGGAGCCTAAAAGAAAGAAATAGGCCAATGGACACCCTTGTCAGCATAGGCTTCTAACAGGAGCAGGCAGAATGGACATCTGCCAGTGCCCTCACCTGCCGGCAAACCCGGGACTTCTCCAGAAGAAACTGTTCTATCCGGGCTCCTTCTATCACACCATTTTGGTTGAAGTGGATATCAATATATTTCCCGAAGCGGCTTGAATTGTCATTTCGAATTGTCTTGGCATTTCCAAAAGCTGATGGGCAAGGGACAGAGGTAGTATCTAGATTATTGCAGTTAATGAACACCAACTCTATTTTTTTATGCCCTTCTTTTTTGCTGCTAGTATTTTACACATTGTGTTCCAAATGACAGTGCTGATAAGCACTGAAGAATGTCTGGTCCTAAAGAGAGAGGCAGGCATACTGTGCATCCAGATAATTGGGTCCTAAAAGACATATTCATATGATCCAAATGCAGCCTATATCTGTCCAGCCAAGAGAGCTGGGCAAGTCTGAAGACCTCCAGAAGGACTTACTGGGAACACACTTGATCCATCTACAGAGAAAAACAGGGGGTCTCAGGGAGCTCCCCTACATATACATTCATGCTTGGCCAGTCACTTTGCCACTATCTAGTGCAAATGCTAAACAAGGGGTCTTTACGTTGGGCTCTGCATTCCCAAGGACTCTTGTGCTCCCCTGCCGTTCCGGGTTACATGCTATAGTGGCACCTCCTCCTACAAGCGTGGGAGTTGCTGTGGACTTCATGGGGACATGGCAGAAAAGCATAGAGAACTTCTACCCTGCATCACCAGTGTTTCAGGGTTTTTAGCAGTTATGCAAATACAATGCTTCAAAGATCTGTTTCTGAATTTTTTATCCTACTACAAAAATCCTGAGATAAAGGTGGTAAATCAGGGATGTTTGCTAAATAACCCACCTTCCAGAATGGGGTTGGCCTCTAGGATTTGCTGCTCTATCCAGGAATGCTGGCCACTGACAGCTGCCAAAAACTGTAGTATTAGCTTTGTGCTTTCAGTCTTCCCAGCCCCAGATTCTCCACTGCAGTAAGAAACAAGATCATTACAAATTTCCTTTCTTCTATTTTGGCTAGGGTGGCAAAATGCCAGACCAAGTTAAAAAAAAAAAAATCCCACTTATATTTACCCTGTGAATGGCAGATCTGACTGTCTTTCATGGAGGGATGGAGAATTTTAGTCTTTCATCATCTTATCTGCTAAAATTTAAGTTGTTTTTTAGCCTTAGGCTGAGGACTAAATTCTCCCACTGATTAAAAACAAGCAAATCCATGGAAGACATTCTGTACCAGTGCAAATTAAATGACCGCTTGCTTTACTTCTTTAATGCATTACCAGATTTTCAATGCTAGTCTTAGCACATCAACTGAGTTGCCTCAGCTATAATCAGATGTTATTGCAATGAGACTATCTGGTTCTTCACACTGATGATTAACAGAAAATGAATACATGTTATGTTTTTATAGGATGAAGGAATCTTCCCTCCAGCTTCAGGTTAGCAGAGGTTGTTTCTCTCCTGGAAATCTCTATTCTCAGAAAATACATGTAACATAAGTATCATGTCCCCGAGGTAGAAGATAGCCTTACATCACACAGGGTCATATTTATGTTTCTGTATGTAGTGACCATGTGCAGAACGTATCACCACATTCAAAGATTTTGGGGGAGAACAATGGACTTCAGAAATCCCTTGCTTATGTTCTACCTTTTGCATCCCTAACTGAAAGTGAAGTAGCAGGGGAGAAAATGTTTCCTTCCCGTTGTCTCTAGTCTTATCTGTGCCCTTCCATTTGGAAGGTCTCCTATGTCCACAAAGGTGCCCCAAAAACATGCCAGGCTTGGTTTCTGCTACTCGTCCTCTCTGAGTCCAGTCACCTGATCACACAGCACTGGTCTCTCTTATTCCTCTTCATATTGAAATAACAGTTGTCTGCAATGGCGAAGACATGAGGTGGTAGCTCTCCAATCCTCTTGTTACAGTACAGTCTGATCTGATCGACCGTGTAGAGGGGCAGTAGCTGGTATGGATTCACTGCTACCAAGATTGATCCTGTGTAAGTCTGGAAAACAGTTATGAGCATTACCTCTAGCAGCAAACCTGCAAACAAGAATACAACCAAAGCCACTTGCAGTATAAACCTAAAGAGAGGCAAGAGGGAAGCCTGGGAGATCCATAGCAGCACTTAGGTGAGGCTGAGAGCCTGGACATGGAGGTTTTTGCAAAAGGAAGAATGCTAGCTATAATCCCCATGCCGAATCACAGCTCAATTCACTGTCTCAAGCTAAAGCACAAGAAAGTCCAATTTGATGTGGCATTTTTGTGTGTTATCATAAGATGTTTTGCAGTGTTTTGTTAAGCTGCTTTTGTGTTCTAGTGCAGATGTAGCTGAACTTTGCTAACGGGCAAAGTTATGGTTGTGTTATTCATACAGTTGTTTAGTAACATTTGTAAACAACAGCACCATTGAAATGAAGGAGGCTGTTAAAGGCTGTGGAAATGCAAGGCAATAATGTTATTCAAGAACTTCTACGTAAGACATCTGCAGACTGTTAGAGTCTAATAATATGCACATCTTGGTAGTTACAACTGCAGCATCTATAAAATCAGTCCTTGTTTACACTAAACACCACCACATCTGTGTTTTAAGAGGCAGCTCCTCTCCTATAGTGTATATAACATGGGAGGCAAAGCATGGAAAAACCTGAATATTATTATCATATTACAAACTGGGAACTAAGGAACAAAGAAACTAAAAGTGCCAAATTGCTCAGTCACAGATAACACCTGTAATGGACAAGAAATGAAACCAGGTGTCCTAAATATCCAGATTTATTCTTTATCTATTTTATTACATCAAAATCAAGTAAACATTGACTTGGACTGGAATCCATGGGCTGGATTTAGCTAACCTGTCAGTCACTGGTGGAAATGATCGCTCTAGGAAAAAGTAAACAGGGTCGCTACCTATGCATATCTCTGCGATTTCAGACACTGCTATTAGCTCTCTTCTTAACAGCCAAAGTACTTGAATGAAAGAAGAGTAAAACTATGTTTTGTCTCCTTGGCACCCTCAATCAGTAAAGGAAGCAGAGGGTCCCAGGTACAAAAGACTTGGAGGCTGCTCAGGTCACTCCGCTAAATGTGTAGTAGAGGGTGTTCCTGAAAGTACTATGCCTGGTGGCCTTGGCACTCACATAGATTTTGTGCTCCTGGTGGCGGATGAGGAGGTTGTGCACGATGCCTGCTTCATGGAGATCCCCGAGGCAGATCATGTCTTCCACGCCCTGGACAGAGGAGGGGTGCATCAGGTGCACCATGTGCATGTTCCGAGCCGTGATCCAGTGTTCCTGAAAAAGACAAAGCATCAGCTTTAATATGTTATGCTGTTGCTCAGAGGCAAACAAAGAGCAGCCATGTTAGACCACAGCAAGCTTCAGTAGAACCCATGCTCAAACCAGCATATTCTAACAAACAGTTGACTGAACAGAAATTAACTGGTTTGCTGCTCCCCAGGACCAGATGATTTAAACCACTGTATGAAGCCATTCAGGTGGGTTCTGGACATCAGCAAATTTAGCATTGTTCAGAGTGCAGCTCTGTCAGGTCATCACAGCCACAACACTGTATGAGGTAGGGATGAAACCCCAACTGACTTTACCAGGATCATGATTTCACCTAAAGCTCCACCATATTTAGGGACTGGAGCCTGTCCATTTCCTTTTCTTAACTACGGAGATATAACCTCTAGCTCAGGAAGTTCTAAATCTTCATTGTGCTGGGACCTGGGGATACTAGGGTATCACCCTATACTTGCCTTATTTTTATATTCTTTCTTTCAGTATATCCTATCAGACATTATCAAAGTCAGACCATTTGGCTAGATGGAGCTTTGGTCTGACCCAATAGGGCCATTCTTTTTTACTTTGTACTTGTAAATTTTATGTTCATCTTTTACAGAAAGTTATAGAGTAGCCCACCTTGCCTTCGTCATCCTCCAGCAAGATCCGTCCTGAGTCAGAGTCCTTCACAACTGCCCCAATAGGGACATTAAACTCACTGTTTGGTTGAGCATCCAGCCACACATGATCACCCTGGGAAGAAGAAAAGCTGTCATCAAGTACAGTGACATACCTGATGCCATGTAGCTCACAGGCATACATCTCTTGGTCTTAATTTTTTAGTGATTTGATTTCTTTAGCAATGTTTAACTGGATAAGTTCTTACTTCTTGCAGGCAGTACAGTCTAACAGTTATAGTATCGGGACGTCTGAGTTCTACTCCCAGCTTCACAGCCGACCTGGAACATGACTTTGGACAAGTCATCAAACCCAGCTGTCTCACAAGAGGAAATGAGGCAACACCTTTTACAAGGACAGTAATTACTCAGCTCCACTACCTCCTAGAGATTGGCAGGGGGCACAACGAATGCTGGTAAAGTGCCTTGGCAGCCTCACATTAGCTATAGTATTCTTTCAGAAGAGATGCTTGAAAACATAGACATTACCAGGAAAAAGAAAAACAAACAAACAGATGTACAGCCTAGATGCCTGGAAATGTAGAAGGCTCTGTTACAAGAGTTTTTAGATATATATTCTTTCTGCTATAGCTGAAATCACTTAGAAATGTAAGGGCATCCATGATCTCTCTTTGGGAAAAAAAGGCATTCTTTATTCAGCCCAGCTCCTCTCTTCACATTTGTAGAGGCACGGCAACATCCTGCCTCTCTGCAGAGCAAGCAATCAAGCAAGCAGAACTGCTCTGCTGTCACTGGAGGAAAGGTGTGAGCTATGGCTGCCCTTTCCTAGGAATGAGCACCATCTTGGTGTCACCTGCACTACTATCCTGCTTATACTCCCCAGCTCCAAGCCCCTAGGAATACCTTCCCTTGCTCCAGGCACTAATACAGATTCAAACAGAAAGCTTTACTGTAATGGCTGGAATGAAAATTGAACAAAGTTGTAGGTCAGATCTTCAATGGGTAGTTCATACTTACACCTGCTGAGGAACTGGCTCTCTAGCTGAGTGTCTTGTCTTATACAACTTTTGTTACATACTCTAGCATTAACTGTCCAGGTTTCAAGTTTTTTACTGAAAAATTATTTCTTTTTCCTCTCAAAATACTTTATGGGCTTATGTTTAAAACCAAAAGACTGTAGTGTAAAGCATCTATAAACATTGCCCAAAGTTACGAAGAATGTTACAGACTAACAGCTCTCATTTGTGTTGAATAAAACTCCAGAGGTAATCTGTGTAGTTTCAGTGCCACACCTTGTGACAGAGGTCACCAGCTCAGCATGAGCACAGCCAGGCTAGGCAAGACACCTCTGCTCTGCATCTCTAGTCTAGGTAGATATTATTTTATACCTTGTTGATACTGGGTTACTGCTACTTTCTTTCTGAGATGGACCATGATGTTAAGGTGATTTTCTCATCTTTGGGCCTCAGGCTAGTCAGTAAATCACAGCAAAGAATAGGACTTACCTTTCTGAAAACCACCATTATGTTTCAGATCACTGTATGTAACCTGCAGTGCCAAGAAGAGCATAACATTAGGCCAGAAAAGGGCTCAGGCTTTGATCAGAACAGACAGTGGGGTGGAGATGTTTCCTTGTAAAAATAACAGCAAAATGCCTTAAAATAATTGCGTTTACAGATTTCATTAAAGCAAAAGAGATCATAATAAGCTACACCCAATGTAGAAATGATGAAACCATCTACCTAAAGCAAAGGTCTGCTCCGAGTTCTACCACATAACCCTGGAGATGCTCTCAACCCTGAAGAAGTCACTGTGCATGTTTTCATACTGAATAGTTCCCTCAATCAAATGCTGAGCACGTTTATTGGCTGAACTTCAAGTTTGGCTCACAAATAAAAAGACCCCACAATGCAATGTAATTCAATGCACAATAGAGTTACCTTTGGCTGGTCAGTTGATCTAGCAGTTCAGTTCCTACAAGTGGCTAGCCCAGTGACACAGATTGAATTCATACTCTCCTAAGATGCTCAGTTCCCCCAGACTCTCACAGCTTGAACCTACCACCATATAGAAACTGAGGTCTAGAGTTCACCTTTCTTGACTGGAATGGGAGGGGTTGCAATGAAGGCATGAGCAGCAAAATAACGAATAGGAAGGAACAAAAATAAAATTCAGAGCTCACAATCAAGAGCATAATAGTGAAAAGATTGGTGGCCAGAAATCTACACCAGTGCTTTGATTAAAGGATGATGCTGTTTAGGCTGTGATCCTTGGAACAACCAAGGAACCAATGTCTTCAGAAGCCACTTCTGTCCCATAGGCTACTGCAGCTGGATTTGGGGAGTGATTCCAGGACTAGGTGTGATTTGCTGGCTTCCACTCTCGCTGCAATGGGAAGGCTGCTGTGTGCCTTTTACTGTGTGTGGGAAATCACAGGCAAAGTCTCTGAAAAGTTCCCTTTAAATATTTCCAGAGTTCCAGACAGGGTTTTTTCCCTGTTATCTCTTCCTACTAGCACGGTGATCCCTTCATGTTGAGGCTGTTGAGTAACCTGTGATTCAGTAGCTGCTGCGTGCAGCAGACAACAGTTATTAGCCCAGGCCTCCACAGCCTCATATTCATAAACTTCTCTCAGCTGTGTGATCCATTCTGCTCCCTCCATTTCTCTAAAGGATCTCTCCCACTATCCATTGTTCCAGCACACCCAGAGAAAAGGCTCAGCTCAAAGTTGATAATAAGAATGAAATGCTTGCAATAAGCAAAATGCTCCATAAAGTGCTAACCTTGGACCAAAAATTAATTCTATTTTTACCCTCCTGTGATCTATTATCAATGACGTTTTCTTAGCATTTTATCTCAAACAGATTTTACAACTCATGCTCAATGAGGACATGTTGAACCATCTGCATCCCTTCTGTACATTCCTGTTTGTTTGACAGCAAACTGCTTGGAAACTACTTTACAAGAAGATGAGTGGACACTACAGGACCAGAAATTGATCTTTGGCACTTATTCCAGGAAAGTCTGTGACCTCTTGGAACATCCCCCCTGAAGAAGAGAAACACCCGCTCCGGTTTTATCTTGACACTCAAATACAAATTTCTTATTTTCTCATTGCCTTTTGAGAAGTTATTTTATTCTGGCCCTAAATTACACTTGTCTAGGTTTTGGACAGGTTCTCTGGAAATTCTAAGGAAAACAAGACAACCAGAAATTAACAGAGTTGAAAGTTCCATTTTCTACCTATGCTATACAGATAATCAAAATCCCAGTTTGCAATACCATTAATATTAGTGATTAATGGGATACTTCATCAATAATTTCACTGAAATCCTTGAGACTTCTTCTATCATGTGTAAAGGCTTTAAAATCTTATGTTTAAAATTTCTGATAACTATTTACAATTCTGTGTAATATGGATGGTATATCTTTTTGAGAGGTGTCCAGATTTCATTACTTTTCTGATTGAATCATTTAGATAAGTTTATGATTTATCTTCATTTTATGGTGGAGCTATACAAGTTTCTGAGGTTTAGAAATTTGCAACTAAATTATCAGAAAAGTGTTTCAAGTCACAACTTTATTTTTGGAAATTCATGCTCTTGAAAAATGAAGATTACCATTAAAAAACCCTCAAGGTGAAGTTTGGGAATACAACTGTTTTCTCCCTCTTGTTTTAATAAACTTCAATGTTAGAAGAAAACATTGCAGTAAGAGAATTAGGGCTCATTTTATTACTTGCTTTCCTACAGCTGCCCACTTCTTTTTATCCATGTTATTTGGGAAGGTATAAATAGCTTCCATAAATCATGGTCTTATTTAAAATCAGTGGGTGCATAAACAACGTTTTCTTCAGACTAAATGGAAGAAGCAATTATACTGTCTGCAAGATACTGCCGCTGTTGTGGGTTACACCAATGTCCTAACCATAAGGAGGGCTCTTAGGGTAGCAAAATGGAAACTAGGAAGTGCTTGACAAGCTCCAAGGTCTTTGTGCCCTATTTGTGGCTATAAAGGCCTATACAGTAGCACGGATTGAAGAGGGTTTCTAAGCAAGCCCAGAATGATTTACCACTTTAAAGTCATCATAAGATATGCTGAAAATAACTAATTATCAAAATTACAAAATGTATTGTGATCCGAAAGTGAAAAATAAATAGAAACTTCAAGAGATGACAGACTGCTGATGTAGAAGTCCAATGCTAACACACATTTTAAAGCAGGACTTTTAAATGTAGTTTTCACATAGGTGACCCAATAACAAGAAGAGAAGTGGAATGTCACACTTAATAACAAAAGCTGGCACATGGAGAAACTGCAAGTGCTGTGTCCCCAGCACAACACCTGCTGACTATATTAAGAGTTGATTTTCTCTGTGAGACTAGGGCAACCACCAGAGCTCATCTGTAACTAAGACAATTCTCAATTTTGTAGCACAACATCTACGAAAATTTAGCAATGCAACATGAATGTGTTATTTCTGGCTGCTTGGTTTTTTTCTGTTGGTTTTTTTACACTCTCTCAAGAAGGAACTTCTGTCTTTTATAATCAGTTATTCTTATGGCAAGGTCCTCATGTTCTTATTCAGGACTCAGGAACTGGATCTGCATATTAACTTCAAGAATGTGATGACGTGTTACTATGAGCAATGCAAGGTGGTACAAAAGCATAGTACTTAGCAAGCATAGGCCAAAGATGGGCCATGGTCAGCCACCCTACTCACAACTGACAGATACTTTTTCACCTGCGCCAGAAACCAGAATACTGCAACACAGCAGAAATGTCTACCCCAGAACAAAGAGGGAGCGGCACGTGCAAACACAAAGCACAGCCATACTGTGTCACATCAAAGGTATAGCTAGCTCTGGATCCAGTCTATGATAGCAGCCAAGAATGGACATGTAGGGAGGAGATCCCGTATAATCCCGGGATACACAGTTTCAACATTTAAAATGCTTATTCCCAGCTAAGTCGTAAGTGGCCAGTCCCCCACCTGCTTGAATGGCTGCTTTCTGACAACGCCTGGCTCGTTCTGTTGCTTTTCGTTCCAAAGTAATGCAGCACCATAAACCAAACTGCACCCCACAGGATGGGATATTACCTCTCCAGAAGAAATCTTCACTGTCTGGCTTCTGCAGCTTAGTTCCCTCCTTTTCATAAGTATTGGAGTAAGAAGGAAAAGAAAGGTGAAACTGGTACTGGTGCCATTAAAGGATCTCTCACCAAGTGCCAGCTCTCTGCTGCACAAAGGAGGAAATGACTGAAGCACGGTTATTTATTACAGGACTTTGCTCCCAGTTCAGCATATATGTCATTTCCAAGTCAGGCGTTCCAGTAAGCAGGAAGGCTAATTCTTGCCTGGGCGAACCTTAAACTTCAGTCTCTCCACTGTGCCTGAATCCTTTCAGATTTCTGGAAAGCGCTGCCAGAAGAAAACCTTTTAGCATCCGGTCTCATGCTGCTCCAACACCACTGACTTCCCTGGGGTTCTCTTGGAGTCACCCTGTTAGATAAGAGGAAAATCGGGCTCTCATCTCTCCCCTTGGTTTTGCACAGCCCTTTCTGCAAGGTCAGAAAACGCACATCAGTCTATGTCCTCTGTGGACTGTGTTTCACGGTACCTAGACCAGAAGGCAAAACAAACTCATGACACTTAACTGAAACTGATAGTCACACAGGCATGTAAAGGTACTGGGATTTCTAGTCCATTTGTTTAAAACTTTCTTGTTTTATTATCATTAATTTATCAGAGAATTTTATTCTCTGAACACACACTCTGTCCCTGTGTTCCAGCATCTAGGTGCATGTTAACTCCCTGTCTGCCCACTTCTCTCTTACCATATTAGGACAGGATGGCCAAGAAGCTTCCTTCTTTCTGGTTGCTCCACATGTACTCTCAGTAATCCTGTGTCGTCCTTGCCTATCCTGTTAAATTGCAGCACTAGATGTAATGTCTGGGAAAGAAACAGAAGTGTAGTATACCTGTAGTGAGGCAGATGATACAGGGTTTCTCCAGCCAGAGCAAGAGCCCAGGAGTCAGGCACATTTCAACCCTAACGGCAACCCCGAACAGTGAGGATGAATTTTTTTCCATCTACCTTAACCCAGCTGTATAACCTTCCTCCAGGGCACTGTACATGGCAGGTGGCTTGCCTCACTATGCACTATTCTGTATGCCCTTTATTAAACATGCAAATGAAAATGTGCGATAATTGTGAACATGTGCTTGTATACCTAATACCTTAATTCTTGTTTTCTTGTTTCCTAGGTTCAATGTAGCTGCACTGTATGATGGGAAAGACAACAAAAAGCCTCCATGTCAGAGACAGATTCTTGGCGCTCCTGCTGTAGTTCCATATCCACACCAGAGGTAAGCATTCAAGCACAGCAATAAATAGTTGTGAGTAATACGTGTTTATCTGTGTTACATATTTGTGTTTTAATACTAGCGTCCTTACCTGAGGTTTTGGTTTAAGTTTTATAGCAGAAGTGAAGATACAGGTGCAGAAATGGAGCATAGGCC